AATGTTCTGTTCTTTAAAAAGAAAAAAGAGGTAAAATTTAAATAGCAATTACCCTGAAATCCTAGGAAAAAACTATTTTTATATTCTTTCTATCCCTTGAAATTATAAATCTTACCATGTCTTTGAAATGTAAACACAACCCACAATCTCCTGAGAATGAAGAACAAGAAAAAATAAAGAGGGAAAGTGGCCCTTTTAAAATACAAACTGTTGGGGCACCTGGGTGGCGCAGTCGGTTAAGCGTCCGACTTCAGCCAGGTCACGATCTCGCGGTCCGTGAGTTCGAGCCCCGCGTCGGGCTCTGGGCTGATGGCTCAGAGCCTGGAGCCTGTTTCCGATTCTGTGTCTCCCTCTCTCTCTGCCCCTCGCCCGTTCATGCTCTGTCTCTCTCTGTCCCAAAAATAAATAAATGTTGAAAAAAAAATTAAAAAAAATAAATAAATAAAATACAAACTGTTGGCAGGACTCATGTGCCCAGACTCCAGCCCCTCTGAGGACAGGCAGAGAAGATCCAAGGATCCTCCCTGGAGAAAAGTGAGACCGTTGCTCTGTGCTTTTGTGATATAAATTCTCTACCCCCCATCTTCACTAAGACCTAAGGGCCTTTTTACAACATGTAAACTCTAGGGGAAAGTTTATGTTAAAACAAATAAATAAACAAAACAATAGAGGGAAGTATTTAAAAATTGGGCCTGTCATGTCCTCTCCACAAATAGTAGTACAAACAAAATTAAGATTTTGTTTGTGTCTTGTCTGTGTAGTGTGTGTGTGTGTGTGTGTGTGTGTGTGTCCATGTTGTACATGTGAGATATTTTCCCTATCTCTGGACAGTACTGCTAAGACTAATTTGCAAAAGAGCTCTATTGAGTTAGTTTGAAGGCAAGTACTCGTAAGGACTGGGCATTCTAAAACTCAGAAAGGTAAAAACTCACCCAAACGTGTTTCAAGTTCACACGATCTGGGAACATATTCAGTAGTAAAGCGAATTTAAGGTTGCTGGTTTACTTATAAGGGGTATGGTTGTAGAGTTATCAGCTTTAAATAGAAAACTTTTATTCTGCTTGCGTTTACTAAAAACCAAATAAGATCACAGTATCACTGTTGCACGTGACCAGGAGAAAAAGAAACCTTAGAATAATTATTAATTTTTACCTAATGCCTCATGAAGTTTTAAGGTCAGTCTGAGTATAATTGTTTAAAACAAGTAAGTTAAACTGACCTAACTACGATAAACTAATGAGCAGAGATTTATCTGCTTTTGTCTAAAGATATATTTTGGTTTTAATAAACAGATTTCATGCTTTACAGAAAGATTGTATTATGAAAAAGCACATGTTTTTAAAAATTCCAAAATATATTCACTAATGTGCAAATCTAAAGAGTTTTGGTGTAACAGAGTTCAGAACTGCTTACTAGTTTTTACTGGAAATTAAGGTTTCTAAGCATTAAATATTCTAATAAATGCAATTAAGACTATTAATAAGGGAAACAACTCTGTATATGAAGACAATAAAACATATGTTTTTGTGAAGAGAAGGTATGAAGAATAAAAAGACATATTTGTTGAGGGAACAGAAACTTTCTTTTCCTAAAGTGAAACCATTTATTTCAAGACGAAACATTTAAAACAAAATCTGAGTATTAAAAAGAAAGTTCTGGGAAGTTTATAAAGAAAGAATCTTTGGGAAAAAAATTCTATGTGTGGCCAATACTGGCTAAGATTATGATAAATTTAAAGAAGTAAATGAGTTTTAACATCAAAAGTGCACTTTTGTAAAGGTTTTGTTTTCTCTATAAAAAGTACAGAGTTGGCTTGAACTAATGGTCTGCTCCCCATAAGAAATTGTAATCAAAACTTGATCTTCTTATCTGCCTAAAAACCCATGATTCTGGATGCCGAAATAATTTCCTGTGTTTATCAATCTTGGATACCTAAGAAAACTGAGTGGGTCTGAATATCCAAGGAGTTACATTTTGGTCTCATAGCTATGTAGCCTTCTATATTTGCCTTGAATACCTTTTATTGTCAGGTTGGTGAAAAGGATATTTAAACATTGTTTCTTAATGATTTATGATCCTATTCAAACATTCAAACCTTTTCAAATTTTTGACACTTGAACATCTCAGAGATTTTGTGAGCAATTGAACTAATGAGGCTACTTGGTACATTTACTTACATGGGAAGCATTCATTGCCAAATAAGTGATATGAAAACCTCTTAGATTATGTTTATGTAGATATGTTACTAAAATTGTGTCATAAAATTATATGAAACTCCTACAAATCTTATATCTTCATATGATATTATCTGGAAGTTCTGTGTGTCACAGAAAGATCCAGATTTCCATGCCGGCTGCATTGGCAGGAACTCCGCAGATCTCTAAGCATGGCCATTTTTACCTCTTTTTTTAGACAGTGATACTTGCACTCAGATGCCTCGTTACATGAGGCATGTGCTTCACTTTCAAGGAGATTCAGGGAAAAACTGCGAGGACAGGTTTCTAATAACTTCTAGACCTGAAATCTGAATGAAGTAAAGGTTTCCAGAACTAGTGGAAAAACCAGATTCAAACAGAACCAAAATTAATAACGACTTGCAAAAGATCATTATACTCTTTATGGCTTTTTGTATGAAACATTAGTGCTTTTTTTTAAATGTTGTGTTTTTGCAGATTCAAGGAAACTTTGTCTCTTAAGCTAACTGACTGACAGCGATTTGATAAAATATACCTTTGTGAACAAATTCAAGTATTTATCTTTTCTCCTTACCTGAACCCTCCAGAGTTCAGAAACTCTCAGTCAGTATTCATATATTTTCTAGCAATCTATTTGAATCTATTGAATCTATTTTTCAATAAGAATCTGTTCTCTTTATGACAGGACACAATGGGAAACACTGCGTATATTACCACGCTCGGACTGGAAGGTCATATTTGGGAATGACGTGCTCAGATGTGACCCGACAGCCTTAAAGACCTCAGGGTGATTTCATGGACACAATAAAGCCCCTTGGAAATACCAGACTGATAGCTTGCTTACAGAGTTCCCAGCAGCCTTACCAGGTGAGTAAAGAAGGTCACTTCCTCACAGGTGCAGGAACCCCGGGATGTTTGGGGGTCCTTGAGAAGAGAGGAATTCACCCAAATCTATACGTATTACAGGCAAAGTCTAAAGGCAAGTAATTGGTTTGGCTCCTGGCCTCAAGAGGCTGTTAAACTTCATCTGGAGACTTTTTATGAAAACTTCTAGCAAAGCAGGTTGAAAGAGTCAACTGCAATTCTTGTTGTACTTATGGAAATAGTCAGGCCAAGTTTTATGGGAAATGACTTATTTTGCAAACAAGTTAGTGTTAATTTCATTATCTTTGGTCAAAGAAGTGATTATAGTGAGAAAATATGTTTCAATAACACATCTTCGTACATTTTAGATTTTATTACTATTCATTATATAACAGATTAGGTCCTGATTTCTTCTAGTGTCTTCCACCACCAGCTACAACGTTCCAAATCGACATTCTGAGGTTTCTCCCACCTTTCTGACTTGGAATCCTTTGAGAACTAAA